AAAAAATCCCTTTGGCAGAGAAATCTTTCAGGCTATTTTTAGTGTAAATGAGACCATACATTCAGCGCAAATGGGACCAAATATCTAAAGGGACCATACTATGTGTCAAATATATGACTATCATTCTGTTAGTATTTTATTGGCATTCATCAATACAGATGTGTCAGCTATACTTATCAAAGGGCATATTATTAATTCACATTTTAAAGTAAACACATAAACCATTCACTATTCATTTTATAGTAATAAGCATTATTACTATAAAATAAATAAATACAATTTCTCTGTGACAGAATACAAACAATGGCATGCTCTGCTCAAAGGTTAGTTTTTATAAGTCCTTGAAAAACTACACATCTGTAAAAAGAAAAAAATTCCAAGCTGGCGATGTAGCTCATTGGTAGAATGTCCCTGGCCAGTGTGCATGTGGCTCTGGGATCTGAGTGCCATTTCCAGCACCGCATACACTGGGCATGCCCAGACAGACGTGCAATCCTAGCACTCAGGAGTCACAGGCATGAGGATGAGAAGTTCAAGACCATCCTTAGGAACTGGAAGCTAGCCAGGACCAAACTGCCAAAAAGAAAAGAGTGTGGGAGAAAGAAGTGAGAGAGACTGATTGTGCAACCTGAGAAACCTTGCTACTCAGTAAGGAGAACAAGTGTGTAGTGTTTACGAGTATCCTAGCAAACTGAAAATGAGAGACTGGAGTAAACACAGCTGACTGTGCGTCTGCCTGACAACCCTCTGCTTCACCCTTAAAGCACAGTGCTGCTCCAAGTCCTGAAGCAGAGACTGCAAGTTCTCAGTCCACCCTCCTGCCTTATGTGTTCTTTTGTTGTTGTCCTTGCTGAACTTTGCAGTCTGTTCTACTCTTTCACCCCTGTTATCTTCAGCACGGACTAAGGCACCAATTACACAACACAGAGAAGAATCTGACCCCTGCTCTGATGTTAAGTTTGGCAGTAAGCACCTGTACCCACCCAGCCGCCTCTTCCACCACCCCTTGATGTTAAGCTGGTTTCTTTTTGATTCGATTCCACCAAGACCTTCTTCACTTGCAAAGTCTAAAACTGATCTAAATCCTGGATTTCTCCTTTCTGCTCCACCTGAAAGCTGACTGCTGGGTATACTTCCCCCCAGAAGGAACACACTAGAATAAAACGTAAGGGAAGAATAATTGAGGCCAAAGGGGACACTGGGGGGATGGGGGGAGGGGATACATTGAAATACATATGAAAATCCCATATGGAAACCCATTACCCCGTAAGTTAATTTTTAAAGTTCAAATTAAAAATAAGAAATCAAGTACCTGGAGAAATTCAGTGATTTATTTTCCTAATCTCACTCCGAAAGTACACACTACTAGTTGTGTTTATTCAATGCTAGCTGGAGCTGAAGCACCCATAAGAACCCTGACCTAAACTACACTATTATACTCAACCTAGAAATGAAGAGACTGGAGCTTAGGAAAAAATAAGTAATTTATCCAAAGTTACTTTGCATACAAGTCAAGCCCAAGGTTCCCTAAAGCCATGCTGTGCATCCTTACATCAGCTGTACAGGAGAAGACGACCCTCTGCTTGTCCTTTTACTTTGTGACATAGCTTTCCTGAACACACTGGTGACAAAATAAAAACCAGAACTGTCTACACTCACTCAGTTACAAGTGTATGCAACAAAAAAGCATTAGTTCCAGACATGAAATTATTCTGTTTCCTTAGTACTCAAAATGTACAATGGACTTGCATCTATCTCCCAGCCCCTCACTACTCTGCACTCCTGTGCTGAAGTCACACCCACCAATCTGATGTGATGGAGTGGGTCCTTGAGAAGGCAACTAGCTATGAAAGGTAGTTTTCATGAATCGGGTTGGTGTCCTCAGAGAAGGAATCCCTCCAGGCATGGTGTCTCATGACTATAATTCTAACACTTGGGGAACAGAGCCAGGAAGATTGCCAGCTTGTGTTTCATAGTGAGTTTCCAGCCAGCCTGATCTACAGGGCTACAGAACAAGATTATGTCAGACAATCAAACAAACAACACTAGGGATTCTTCATCCTCTTTCCATCCTGTGATGACAGAACAGGATCACAAGTCTATGGCCAGAAGACGGCTGAACCTGACCTTGCGGCACTCTGACCTTGGACTTACAGCTTCTGGAACAGGGACAGATTTCTGTTACCAATGATCTACTCAGCCTATAATGCTTTATAAGCAGCCACTGAGCTTTCTTGGATTACCACATATTCTAGGACTAATTACAGAAACCCTGCTTCTTAATAGCAGCCTGCACTAAGACAGAAGTCAGGATCAATACATGAGGGTGCACTAAGACAAACATCTGAAAGGCAGTTAGCTAACATAAACAAGCATATCAATTGAATAACAACAACAACAACAGCAATCAAACAATAAATCTGTTAGAGCCGCTTTTAGCTAACAGCCAAAGCATCCTGATACAAATATTTATCAAAAGTTACCTTTGGGAATCTAGAAAGATGGCTCAGTGAGTAAGACTGCTTTCTGCACAAGCATGAAAATTTGAGTTCTAATCCCCGGTAACTGTGCATCTATAACACTGACACTGTCTGGAGCAGAGACAAGAGGATCACAGGAGCTTCCTGGCTGCGAGGCTAGCTCTGATTTCAATAAGCAATCCATCTCAAAGAAATAAGGAGGAGCCTGATAGAAAAGGACAACCTGCATTCCCTTTGGCCTCTAAACACACACTCAAACACACCACATACACGCTGCCCCATACACACTCACACAGGTGCACATGTACAACACCCACACATGCCTCCCCCCACAAAATACAATCCAAATAAAACAATATTTAGAAATTATGTTTGAGAGGAAAACAATGTAAAATAGTACACACATGACAAAGTATGTCTTCAACGCAGCACATCTTCAAAGCTTCAGAGAATGACGTGTGAAACGAGAGTTTGTTGCTAAAGAAAGCAGACTTGAGCACAAAAGAAGCCATTTTTCCGGCCATGATTAGTATTGTCTAAAAGTCAAAAAAATTAATTCCAGAAATAGAAAAATTCATAAAGATCAGCCATCAAGGACATTTCAAACAGAATTCCCTAGAGAATATAGAGAGACCACTATATGAAAATGATCTATGCATGTGTATGTATGGGTCCAATGGCTGGTGACTATTTTAAACAAATAAATGCATACATCTGGGAACCCCATGCCTTGTGATTATTACAAATAAACGCTAGCTGTGACTCCGACGGCTAATGCCTGTTACTTTTAGAACACATGATGTGGCAATTAAAGGGAACTTAAAGGAAAGCACTAAAACAGCACACCACTTCCTGTCACTAGATCTTACCTTACGATCTGCTTATCATTAGCCTATCATTTATACAAACAACCAATAAAAGGCAACACAATTTTAAGAAAAAATTTTGAGAGGAAAGGATAGTTTTAAAGAAAGAAAGTTTAACACAAATTATATAAGAAAATGCAAAAATAAGGTTTGGTGTACTGGAATATAAAATAAAGCCTGGTAGTTCACACCTGTAATCCTAGCACCTGGGACACTGAAGCATGAGAGCCACCAGCTCAAGTTCATTTTCAATTACACAGTGATCCCCAGGCCAGCCTGGGCTACAAGAGTCCCTATATCCTAGGAATAAGAACAGTCAGCAAGAATGATGGGCTGCCACACTGAACTCTGCACTTGCTGCTCTGAAGGGATTCCTTCATTAAACATCCCGAGTTCCTCTTTACCAAAGTTGCCATTACCCAGTGATTTTTCAAAAAACATGGTAATTTACAACCATATTATTCAAGGAGCCATCCCAACACAAGAAAGTAATTTTATTTTTAGAACTAGTTATAGAAGTATTGAGTTTTTTAAAGATAGCTGTATCTATACGATGTTACCTAGGACACTCACATAGCTATATCTATCTATACAATGTTACCTAGGATGCTCACATAACTCAGCTTTTTTCACAAAATAGTAAAGCTCTCCCATGTTACAAGCCTAAGACGATACAGGCATAAGCGTAGGTAAAGGCCTGAAAGCACATTTGCAAGTCTTCATTTGAAGGCTCTATTGCTAAGGTAAAAAAACCAAGAGAGAACGTCTTCATCACATTCCTTAAAATTTATGCATGCATTTTGGTACTTCCAAAGTATAAACTAGTTCCTGTGCCTCATATTACACACACACACACACACACACACACACACACACACGCATACGCAAATATGCACACGCATACACGCACACGCACACGCGCGCGCGCGCGCGCGCGCGCGCACACACACACACAGAGTCCAGACAACAAAACAGTCATATTTAGATTTACGTTTAAATTTCCTTTTGGGGGTGGAGCCATGGCTCAGCAGTTAAGAGTACATACTGCTCTTGCAGAACACCCAAGCTCAGTCCCCAGCACCCACACCAGGCAGCTCGCAAGCACCTGTAACTCTAGTTCTCTGTGGAAACCCAGTACCTCCAGCTTGCATGCGTGTCTGCACTCACTCTGGTGCATGTGTGCATACACATAGTCACACACACAACTTAAAAAACAACTAATCTTTATTTTCTTTTAGTGGACTCAGGCTTCTAGTTGATACTTGATGGTGTTGTTGGAATACACTGAGTCTCGCTCAAGCCTAAGGACAACTGTGAGACAGCCTGCAGCAGCCTGCCCATCCTCTCCTAAGGCACTGTGTGTAGGCGAGTTCATAAGGCATAATAAAAGCTGTGGCCCTCTGCAGGAAATGATGCCACAGTGCCTGCTAGAGGCACTGTTATTGCCTAATGAGGAGTCTGACCTTTTCTTGTCTTGTCTTAGGCTAAGAAGTACTTTATGTTTGAATAACAGAATAATAAGTGACATCTACTATGAACAAGAAACATTAAAGCTTCATCATGTCCCCTGAAAGCATTTCCCTGTGTTCATCCCAAAGAGATTTAAACAAAGACTAAGAAAGCAAAGCAATCATCTCAGAGACTCCCGTCATACCTCCTGAGTGTGCTCTTTATAGACTTGAAGAGGCCCTGTGGGTTTGCCAGTGTCCCAGAGCTGTAGTGAGCCATCACCGCTACAGGTGACAAGGACATGTTCATTGTTTTCACTCCAGGTAACATCAAACAAGCCGTCATTCCAATCAAAGCTACACCAGAAAAGAAAATACACACACTGCAGATCAGAAAATGATTAACAATCTTAAGTTTATAGTTACTGGTTTTTCTCTTGTTTTTCATGTATTGTAACATGCATTACCTCAGATGATCTTCAAAACTACAAGAGATAAACAGAGCAGGAACTTCACAGAAGCCTGGAAGTACAGCCCAGGCATGGCAGGCAGATAACTGGAAAGCTAAACTGAAAGGCAGTCTCCACCCACTAATATGCCAGTATCCACCGAAGGCGTGCTGACAGTCACCAGCTGCTTATTATAGTGTGCCTGTGACTCAGAGCATGCACTAGTGAGCCTTTCAAAAGACGGAGACCAGGAATTTCAAATCTCCCATAAATCTTTCATCTAAGCTATGAACAAGCAGTGGCTTTCTAACAGAATCTCTTTTCTCTGCCTTTGACTAATCCTGATAGAAGTATCATGCGTCCACCAATCAACCTGGAAGACAGGTACAGAGAGAAACACTGGGAAACCCACAAGATGAGCATTAGTTCTTGCTTAAGTAAAACTAAGTTATACTAAGACACAAAAGAGAGGCAATGTCACAAAGTACACCAATTAGCTCACTGTTTTAAGTGTGAAATCTGTAAGTGGACACTAATACGCTTGAGAACACGGCATAATCATAATTAGCAAAAATAATTTCTACATTATGCCAATGCAAAAGTTTATTTTATATCATAAATGAAAAACCTATTAGCTCCAAATATTCAAAATGTAACTGCATTAAGACTTTGACAGTCATTCACAGTATACGTACACTTAATAATGAGAGCCATTATAATGGTTTGAAGAGAATGGCCACCATAGGTTCTTAGGTCTGAATAGTCAGTCCCTAGGTGATAGAAGTATTTGGGAAGAATCAGATGTGGTATTGTTGGAAGAAGTGCTCCATTGGGGGCAGGCTCTGGGACTTCAAAAGACTTGCCCCATTCCCAGACTGCATCTCTCTGTCTCCCATTTGTGGATCAAGATATGAGCTCTCAGCTGTTCCTGTAACCATGACCTTGCCTCCATTGTAGACTCTGGCCCTCTAAGAGCAGAAGCCTAAAGTACTTTCTTTTATATGTTGCCTTAATCATGGTATCTAGTCACAGCAACAGAAAGGTCAGTCACCTTACCTTCTAAAAATCTGAAGTCCAGATTCATTTTGATCCAATACTAATAGGGTTCCACAGCCTGGAAAACAGAGCAAAACAAAAACCTAAGTCATGTTGCTGAACCTGGGAAACATCCAGGATGAAGTGCTAAGCATTGTGGACCAGCTTAAACTACCACAAATTTCCCCTAAAATAACTGTAACCATATACACTAAAGGATTAAAAGTTGCATAGTATGCTTCAGTCATTAAATATCCAACTTACCATCTGGCCTGACTGGCATCCAAATACCAGGAAATGCATCAGAGTACCAACTCAAACCAGGCCAGGCGCTAGGCACACAAACCTTTCAAGTTGGAGCTAACATCTCTAACAACAAAAGGAAGGCTCACGCTTACAAACGCCCAAGACTATGATCCTGCTTTGCTCATACATGTAAAACACATCTATTATATCGGTTTAAGATAAAGTATGTGCGGAAATGCCACATACTCTTCGGTCAGGTGTTGAAGACTATTAATTTCAGTTATCTGCCAGCAATCAATTATTTTTGCTGACAGCCTAATGTCTCTCTCCCCCCCCCATCCCACACTCTATTACCATCTGATCCAAGTGAATCTGCACTTGAACTCTACAAGGTAAGATGACTAACTACTAAGCTCACATGCACACTCAACTGTCATTAGAGTCTTAACAGAATTATGCTTTGAGGTTTTGTGATCAGTGAGGTGTGTAAAGTGTTAAAGACCTTCCACTTAAACATTACTGATGAAAAAAAAAATCAGCTCCGGGCCAGAGAGACGGTTGATCCCTTACCAGTGCAGAGGACCCAGTTTCTAGTCCCAGCACCTACTTGGTGGCTGACAACCATCAGTAATGAATCCAACACCCTCTTAGAACCTCCTCTTCTGACGTTAGCAGGCAGCAGGCATGCCATGGTTTACAGCCATAAATGCAAGCAAAAAACTCAAGACACACACACACACAAAAAAAAATCCCTAGAAAACAATTCCTAAATATACCAATTTCTCATAAGAAACCTTTATAAAAGACTTAAGTCTTCCTCCTAACTGGTAGCCAAGAACTGTAAACCCAACTGCGCACGCACTAAGCACTAATGGTCAAAACTATAAGAAAATAAGTTATCTACCACTATTTCTCAGAAATCATATTTTTTTCTGCAGTAAACAAATACTACAGATTGCTGACATTATGCAATGGCTTGCCACACATGCTCCTGTGCATAAACAACAAATGGGGGATACGTTAAAAATAAACGGCTTGAGCATTTAGACATCTCTGCACATTTATCCATTCTCCATGAGACAACGAAAAGGGTGCACAGAATGTTCTACTATTTTTTTTTTCAAGAAAGGGCCAGAGTCTTCCTACGTTTCAGTTGAGGTTGGTTTTGAACTCTGACTCTGTTGACTCCACCTTGCAAGTGCTGAGAAGTGCATCCTTCTTACAGAAGGGAAAGGACAAGCTACAGGCTTCCCCGCTCCAAAGCCAACTATGCAGAAAGGGGGACCGAGGAGAGACGGTGGAGCTCTGTCTCCCCCTGGCGGTGGCGGGCGGCACCGCGCGCACAGCAGCGCGTCCTACGCCCGCCCCGGAGGCGCGGCCCGCGCTCACCCGCGATGCCGTAGTGCTGCGCCGCGGCACAGGCCAGGCGGCCCGGCAGGTACGGAGAGAACTCGGCGGCATAGCCGTGGCGGCCCGGCACCCGCAGCGTCCGCGCCGCGCTCATCCCGCCCGCCGCCACTCAGGCTCCCCGCCCGAGCGCTGACACTGTCTCGAGTAGAAGTGCACCGCGGCGGATCCCTGAGAGAACTTCTGAGTCCGGGAAGGCTGGGCGGAAGTGACGACATTGACGCCCGGAATCCTAGATGTTGATTGGGCCACATAGAAAAGGGAGCTGACGCCGCGAAGACCATTTTTCTTTAGGGAAAAAAAAATACTGATTTGCTCTGGCTAAAATCAACTGGTCTTCCAGAGATTATTCTAGACCTAAGGGCGAAGATACTAGTTAGGGGTCACTTCTGACAGTTGTCCACGTTTAATTGCAACCTCCTTGGCGGAGCACCTTGTTTTTTATTAATTGCTTGAACTTTCAAAACTTAGCTATCCTAACATTTTCCTGATGATTACGAAATAAAAGCCACAACAAACTCTGAAAGCAATTAGTGAGTCCAAGGGCAACGAATGGAGTGCTGGGTTGCCCAAGGCAACTTGAATCCAAGTTGAATTCAAGACAACAATGAAGTTAAAGGATAGGGGTACTGTCATGTGCAAATAGCTGTCTATAGGTGTTATGTAATTAGTTGCACTGTGCAGATATATTCCGGTAATTAAGGAAAACTTGGACTCATTAATTCGTTCCGTCAAACATTTGCCAAGCATATGCAGTGTGGTAGATGTATGCGCAGATGTATGCCAAACCAAACACTGAAGAGTGAAAGAGATTGGTGTTAATCATTAAACCAGTCAACCTGCACAGACTGAGTCAAATACCAAGCACGGTGCTAGACTTTTACATTCAAAAGACCCACTGGTGCATGGTTGAGCTCAAGAGATTACAAGTCATGAAAACTTTTAAGTGTAATCAAAATGCCATTGATGCTAGGTGGGGTGACAAGGAAAGCTTTAGAAAGGAGATAATCTAGGGTGAATTCACACAAATGAGTGTTCTTTAAATAAAAACTTGGAAGCCATTGTGGGATCAGGAGAAGGGTGAAGAACCTAGAAAACCTAAAACCATAAGGGATGGTAGCTCCCCGGACTCAGTTTAGCCTGATAGAGAAAGAGCACTTTGGGTAGATTCCGCCTGATTAGAGAAGTCAAATGCTCCAACATAAAGTCTTTTATTGTACATCGTGCCCAAAGAACTGTGCAGCAGTTTAAATACTAATGAGTTTTCAGATATGGATCATTAAGTGAGTTATCACCGCCAAACAATACTAACTGAAAACTGGAGATTGGCAATGGAGTACAGTTAGAGACTTTAGCAACAGCTCAAGCAAAAGATGCCAAGGTGGGGTAGTAGTGTTTTGTTGAGAAGTATGGAAAGGAGTGGAGAGGGTGAGATTAAGGGTCAAATGAAGACAAAAAGCTTAAATGGTTTCCAACTCTTAGTACAGTGCTTATACAGACACAGTAATTGTTTACTGAAATAAGGACAAGTTGAGGTGGGGACAAGCTTGGAACAACAACAAACTCCAGTTCTACATGTTGAGTGCACTGTGTGTGGTGCAGCAGAATGGAGTCCAGGCAAGCCTTCTTATTTGCATGTACATAATATTTAGACCATGGAAATGATTTTTATTTAGGAAGAAAATGGTATGATAAGAAGTGACAGAGCCTTCCCCTAATGAATAAAGATTTCAAGGGACCAATCACTGGGCGAGGAGTAGGCGGGACTTCTGGGTTGGGGAGAGGAAGAGGGAGGCAGGAGAAAGATTTCTTTTTGGATGGCAGAGAGCCTGGAGCTACAATATAGGTAGCCAGAGGGTTCTCCCCACCCCCGGGAGGTTTAGGTGGCAGATCTGATCCACCACCAAAAGATTTAACATAAAATAGCTTACAAAATTAGGATGCTAGTTTCCGCGCCCAGCGATTGCGTTACCTGTTAATCCTAAACTAAGATTGTGTGGTGTTTTCCTTCACGCAGCATCTCAACTGGGTTCCAGAGAAAGATATGGCGGCAGGGCACCTCAGCCAGCCACGGGAATTTGGAAGTGTGGGGCGTGCGTGGCAACAGCTCACCAAAGAAACTTAAAGAGCCAGGTGGAAAGATTTCGGAGCACTGAAACCGAGAGTCGGCTGTGCTCCGGCGGAGGACAGGCCAGCCTGTCCACCAGTGCCATGCCAGTGGTAGCACGGATTACCATTCAATATTTCATGCAACAATAAGGGAAGATTGATTTTGGAGAAACACAGCCACATGGAAATCTGGCAATGGAGAAGCTATGGAAGGTGAGAGAGATCCCCAAGATGGGAACTATAGATTCATTTATTACTTGGTTTAAGAATACTGCTTAGTAGCTGGAGAAACGGCTCAGTGTTTCCCAGCACTGACTGCTCTTCCAGAGGTCCTGAGTTCGATGCCCAGAAACCACATGGTGGCCCACAACCATCTGTAATGAGATCCAGTGCCCTCTTCTGGTGTGCCTGAACACAATGGCAGTGTACTCGCATATGTTCACATCACATAAAATAAGTAAGTCTGTTTTAAAAAAGAATACTGCTGAAGCCAAGCATGGTGAAGGAATGCCTTTAAGCTCAGAATTTTGGAGACAGAGGCAGGAGAATCTCTGAGTTTAAGGCTAGCGTAGTCTACAGAATGGCTGTCCTAGGGACAACTAGGGCTACAGAGAGAAACCCTGTCTCCAAAACCAAAACAACAAATAAACAAGAAATATCTCTAAAGCTGGGAGGATTTGCACACTATCTTCTGGTGTAGATTTAGATACTTAGTAAGTAGACCTGCATTAGACAACGACACTGCAGAGTTCTTCCAGCTGTGTAAGCATCTGTTTCAGTGCCTGGTATCTCTGTCTGTAGCAGCACTAAGTGCAGACTAGACAAAATGTGGAAATTATTTCAATAACAGCAGGTAAGGGTTGGCTATCATGAACTCAGATGCCTAAGAAGTAGAGAATTTCTATATTTTTCCAAGGAATTTAAATATCTATCTCTGTGGGGAGCTGAGGAAGCCCCAAGTGAACGTGTATTGTTTGGCATGGCACAGCCAGATCAAAAACATCGATTCCTCAGGCCCAGGAATTGACACAGCCTTGCCAGAGTGATGCTCAGAGGGTGGGTAGCACAGCCTTCCTCTGGTCTATATGAATGCTGATGGTGTGTACAAGTATTAGTGTTTATAAATGCTGGGCCAGTGCATTCAAAAACTAGCAACTGCAGCTTCAGCCTCTCTGGTGCTTACTACCTGAGATTCCTTTCTAAGGAAACCTTGCCTTACTGTCCTACAGAGACAAACTAATTTCCCTTCCTGTGCTGTATGTAATAAGCATGCTGAGGTTCTGAGTTGTTACTGAGTAGTTCCAGCAGAGCAATCACCATCTACCTGATGTGTGTCTGTTCTTTCAGCATCCTTCACTGCCCCAAGACCAAGGCATGCCAGAGGCAGCATCTGCCCCTGAACTTAGAAAATTCTATCTTACCTTGCTTGAGGCTTCTTGGCATTTCAAAGGGACCATGTTAGAGTTTGACCGAGAATATAAAGTTCATAAAATCAGGATCAGAATGGTGTTCACTCTCCAGTAACTAAAACAGGACCTGGCAAATAGTGAAGGGTCTCTCAGACAGCTCCCCCATGTGAGTCTGGGTGGACATGTAACTGTACACGTCATGCTGGATGGGCTCCTACTAACCTGAGATCTCCATGAATCCATGTCACTGTCACTTGTCATACTTCAGACTACCTTCTTTTAACCTCTTCTCTGTCACTATCGTCATATGGTCAGCTCTTAATTGCTCCCTCCCCAAGGACAGCTCAGTGCTCTTACCCAGTGAGTACATGCTTTCACTGAAGCCTCTGGCCAGCTTTTGAGCCAGTCTTTCAAGTACCTGGAGTCAGGAACCACAAAGGCTCTGGCCACTTAACTGAATGAATAGGAAAAGAAAAACTACAGGAAAACCCAGTATGCTAGTTATCATATCATTCTGTTAATGTATAATATTAAAGGATATTGATCAATTATTAATTTATAACTTAATAATAAATATGTAGAGGCAGATGTACTGGTACCCATGCCACCTCTCAATTATAAACTAGACAAGCCTCCAAACCCCCAAATCTTACTCTCTTGCCTAAGAATCTTGTGGAGTGACTTTAGCAAAACAGATTTTTAGAACACAGTAGGGCCATGTCTATTCAACATCTCAAAGGATGAATTTGGAAATTGGGTTTGTTTGTTTGTTTGTTTGTTTGTTTAGTGCTGAAGAATCAACCCAGACCTTCTCAAGCCATGTAAATGTTCCACCATTCAACTAGCTGTACCCCTGTGAAACTTTATAAGGGTGGAAGACAGGACGATCATTGTTACTTAACTGGTCACCAGTCTAGCTGTGGATAGATCCTGTCTGAGGGGAGTAAGGTGGAGAGTCATAGAGAAGGATATCTGATATCCTTTTCTGGCCTCAGTGTGTGCACCAGGATGGCAACCTTCACACAATGCACATAAAGTACATACACATACACACACACACACACACACACACACACACACCACTCTAAGTGATTCTCATATGCTAACTACAGCACAAAGAGTAAAAGCACATTTAGACTAAAGTGTTCAGCTCTGTCAGGAACTTAGAAAATGGAAGCAGACACTGGACCTGCTAAAGCAATCCAGGACTCTGTGTTGGGAAGGCAACAGGATCATGCCCTCACACACACTCAGCAAACACACTTCCCAGAGCAACAACCCCTGTGTCAGGCTTAGATTGCTAAGATAGTCCATGCAGGGTATCACGTGTGCAATGGAAGGCCTGGGCATTATATGATATCGTCCTGCTAAAACCAGAGGATACCACCAGACCTGAATTCCTCACATGGCAATGTGGTGTGAATACAGGCTCCAGAGGCAATGGGCTCATTTTCCGTTATCAGTTATCAGCTTTACTGCTTAAAGTTGAAATTTGAATTCCAGTGAGAGTTCATTTTTAGACAATGAGTATGCTACATGTAATACTTGAATCATCTTGGAAGTTTAGGAGGTATTTGTACACCTGTTTGTTCCAGGACCTTTGCACTCAGGGAAACCTGAGGACCAGTGAATGTGGTATCATTTCACTCACACTGCCTGTGTGCTTTTATCAAGGGTGACACAAG